TCATTGGCTAATATGTTTGTTACATGGTACATACATGTACTACTTCATACATTCATAGCTACTAATATGTTCAATAATACAATTCTTCAAGTGATACCCACACATTTTCATCTCATTGGTAGTAGGCTGAGCACTGACATTCACTTTCCGAACTAAAACACTCATATTTCAATCTATCATATGTATGGTACCAACATTGAAAATTGATTCCATTATAAATTATTTTATTAAACAGACATCAGATATTAAAAGCTCAGAGAGAGAAACGAGTACAGAGTGCAATGGACAACAGAAGATTATTAGATCTGAGACAAAGAGAGCGTAGAAGAGCTTTATTGGGCCATCATGATTGTGCTGAATTTGGCTCCAGTACTGGTGCCATCTCTGATAAAGGTATTTGAATAATGGTAACATTACAATAAGGGTTACTGGTACATATGTTGTTTATCAGTAGCTAGTTTTCAATATCAGTTTGAATCAAGTGGGTTTATCATCTAAAATGATTACTTACGTTAATTATGTTTATTTGAAGGTTTAGTTACCAGGTCAGATACATCATTACACACGATGAAAAGAGTTCAAAGTGCCAGATCATTCCGATCTATAAAAACATCCTCCTCAGTAAACCAACAAAGACCAAAGTCAGCATTTGGAAAGTTCAAAGAACAGGAGGATCTAGCATCAGAAAAACCATTCAGGTAAGATTACGTATTGACATAACACCAATCTTTTAATTCCTAATTCAGTCTTCCTCTGCATCTTTACATGATATGCCATCCTTTGTATCTCTGGCAGTTCTTTTATTTGCATTCTGTCCTAAGACAAAATTGATTTTTCCCCCATGAATCTCACTTTCACCGACATCTGATGCGGACACTAAGTTTGTAATATTCTGTTAAAATAATACTCCATCTTATTTGTGTTGACAGAGTTCGAATGGGTAAGCAGTCAGTCAAAACTAAAGTCAATCCATCTGAAGTATTTGAGAATACAGGCAATAAGAAACCATTGTTAATCAAAAGACAACTCAGTAAATCTATTCCGGGAAAATGCAGGTAAGAATTCAAACTGTATTAGGTACTGTTGTCATTTGCATAAAATTGCTACATTGTAGTCATTTTACCTCAAGTAGGTTCTGAGCACATTTCCAGCCCTGGATTCCATGCCTACTGTATTAGTTGGTAATATTTCTGAATACTTGATCTCCAGTGTGATATAGCTAAAGCTGTAAACCAGTAATATTAGTCCAAATTTAATTCCAAGAGATCAGTCTTTATAATCTTAGTAAGAGACCACACCCAATGTAAACCTGCATACATTGTACTGTTTTTTTTTAGACGCTATGTATTGATATCACATACTGCTGGCTTACCGTTATATCCTAAACCAACCACATTAGAAGGACATTTATTACCAGGAAGATTTCCTAATGATATGAAAAGATGGCAAGAGTTTGAAGAAGTTGTAAAAAAACATAATGGTGGCCCTGATTCAACGGTGATGTTTAGTGGTGTAGATGATTTCATGAACTCTTCATGGAAATAGAACTTGTACAGGATACAAGTATATGTATGGTGTACAGTGCCCTCTAGATATAAAATAAGGCACTCTATTCGGAAAAATTAATATGAAATAAGGCAACATATTATTTTTTCATTGTTAGAGTATTATTGGTGAAGAGCCAAATGCATAAAACTGTTGAATAATTGTGACACATTGTGAAACATCACAATTTACATCAAAAGTGTAGTACATTTTATAGTAATAATAATTCTGTATTTCAAGAACAAGCTCATCTACCATATTTGCTCCATTAGAAGTGCATCTTCAATAATGGCATATATAAACCAGAAATTGCACATGTTATATATGGAATAATTAAAATAAAACATATTTTTCCCATAAAAACACACTTGTAATGTACAAAAGCATTTTGGTACATTATTCATTATTCAGTAAATCGTTAACCGGTACACTAATTTATAGCCCTACAACCAGCTTTAGCATAGTAAAGATTTGAATACTTTTATAAATCTAGATTGCAATATACAAACCTGGGATGTAAAGATACCATTGTTTTTAGTGCAATGGCTTTTCCACATTACTGTATCTTGTAAATATGTGTTATATAGAAATTATTAATATTTAAGATGTAATATTATAGTGCTTCCATTTAAACAGACTAAATTATATATAAATATGGTTAAAATAACCATTTAATTGCACTTTATTAATTTATCTTTTCTTCTATTCTGTTTTCATTTCAAAACCCCCAAGGTTGATACTGGAATGGTCAGTTTTATTATCAGTAACCTATATTTTCATTTCTGTATAAAGTATGATATATGATAAAACATTGTACATGTACATCTTCCTTATATACCTGATGATTTAATATTTTTGATTTAATTAACAAGCTTCCAAAAATGATTCTATTCAGTGAGTGTATAAAACTTACTAAACCCAACTGAATCATTTCATATTGTATTTTAGCACATTGAAGTTGAAAAGGTTATTATCCAGAGTATTTTACACACAGTAATATAGCTTTGAACCATGTGAAGGGGCCAACAAAAATTTTCTACTGAAATTACATAGACATATAGACTCCATGTGTATTTATTGTACATTTTGTTTATACTAAAAGCATAAAATTTGAATTGTACAGTGTATATTTCAAAAAAATAAATACATACAAACACTTTGACTTTATATCATTTGTTGTATACATCAAAAACACTACCGTTAAAATGGGGTGGTAAAAAACAAATCTTGAAAACTCCCCTGGAAAAGGGTATTCATAAACTTTTTGGTAATACATGATGATATCCACCACTAGAGCATCTTGTATAGGGTAGGATAATTATTTAATTTGATAAAGAAAATCTTGTTGACAGAAGTTAAGATTATAGTTTGGATAATATAAAGTCTCGACATTATGGCTATCCTTGACTAAAATACTCCAAACTGGATTTAGCTTTTTCCATCTCATGAAGAAATGAATAAAATTGTGGCAGTGTCAATTCTGAAAAGCAAATATACACTTAATTTAATAAAAATATAGTAGTATTGTGTACGAGTCCTCAATACAGATTTAGTAAAACAATAACTGTTATGCTCAGTTGTGATCTACCCATCATGGCATCTTCAACTAACACATTGTCCCTATACAAAACTTGCAGGTAAGTAAGTTGGATTTAATTTGTAAAAGCATTCACTTTAGGAAAGCTCACTTACCCATATAAACATTTTCTGTCCTATTTCCTTTATTAACAACAAGTTTCAACTGAAAAAGAAATATGAAAAATTTATCAGGTATTATTCCAAATACCGGGTAATCGATTTGGACAAGAGCTCAAGGTATTTGGAACTACTGATACATATAACAGATTTCTTTGACTTTATTGTTTTTATGCTGTTTATTTATATAAAACAATGGTCACTACTTTTCACACAAATAATGGGTTAAGCATCCATCAAAATCGTGCCATTTACAACATTGGTCTTATTCACCACCCACCTGTACTCAGAAATGTGATATGGGATTAGACGAATGTGGGATGGAATTGTTTTAAACTGGTATTAATATATCATGGCCTGGATACTGACCTGAAGGAATGTGTTACCAACTTTGTTAATTTCACTATTGGCTGCCGTCACTAAAGAATGAAAAATACAAATGTATTTAAAACAAGCCACTATTTACACTGGTAACAATCCACATATACAAAATATGTAGTGCAACTAAAAGTAAATTTATATGGCCATAAATGGCGACAAGTGTTTCATTTCAAGAAGAGGGCTCCAGAAAAAATGGAGATGAACACTAGCTTGCATGTACATTGTTGCTTGTTACAACCGAATGTAATATTGTAGACAATGGTATTTGTTACCTCCAAACTTCCATTCCATATCAACTAATTGATTAATCATTAAACTTTGGCCGAGTGCTGTTCTTGATAATGACACCAAATTTGCTTTCCACTGAAAATGAAACATGGTCAGCACATTTTTATCAAATCATTACTTGTCATGTGACATTCAAAGTGTATTGGAATTGAACGCAAGTTGCATGTAATGTAAACCACATTTCTCATTACCGTATAAAGCATGCATGGTGAATGGTGATGGATTTGTGCCAAGACAGATTCTAATTTTTTGTGTGTAATTTGTTAAAGCAGGTAAATCTTGCCAGACTTCCCCAATAGGCTGATCACACACATTTGTTATAATAAATAAGTGTAGTGCTGTCTGCACTGAATGTTACCATTTCTAATAGTGTTATTTATATGGGTTCTTCTGTC